GGGGGGGGGGGCAGACTGAGCACGTACCTTCCAGACAGCAGGTTCGCCAGAGGCCGGAGTGCGTCATCACCTCCTCGTTCTTGCGGCTCGTGTCGTTGTCGCCGCTGCTCTTCACGCGGCAGACCCCGCGCGAGTACAGCCAGTAGTCGGTCCCGACGGCGATGGTCATGAGGCTGAAGGCGGCGAACGCGCCCACCGTCGTCACGAGCATCTGGACGCCGCGGTCACACATCAGCATCTTCATATAGGCGGCTCCTGTGTGCCTTAATCGTCGCACCCCCCACCCCACCCACCCCCCTTCCCCCCCCCCCCCCCCTTCCCGCCCCCCCCTTTTTTTTCTTCCCTCTTTCAGTTCAGTCACTCGCTTTTTAAAAAAAATATAGGTTCACCCTCTTTATTTCCTTAATATCCCGCGAGACTTGGGGTGTCACGGAGAGGAGTGGAGCGGAAAAAGCACTCCGGTGTGACACGGTGAGGGGGGAGGTCGGCTCGGTGAGCGTGGACACAGAAAAAAGTGAGCCTCGGCCGCCTCGTTGGCGGAGTTGACAGGAGCCTCGAAGCAAAGGGCGGGAAGGTGGGAGGCTGGCACGTCACTTTCCTGCGTATCAAAAACCGGTTTCCACCACCAGCATCCTCGCGCCCGCGCGCCAGAGGGTTTGCGACCCGGCGGGTGTCCCCCCCCCCAAAACGGCTCGACGCTGCTGCCCGCACCGGCTCAGAGCGGAGGGTTCCGGATGTGCCACATTCCGCCCCGCCGCCCCCACTCGTGTCCCGCGGAACCAGATAGCTCTCTGTCGCTATCCTCCTCCTCCTCCTCCTCTTCTAAGACGTCTTCGCCGTCGTCCCTCCAAACTTCTCCCTCAGCGTATCCAAACGATGCCCCCTTTCCCCCCAAAAAATCTGTTCACCAGAAACAGACAGGGTCCGCGCGAGGGGACTCCATCTTTAAAGTAACAACAAATATCGGGGCTCGTTTGTTTGCTTTACTGATGTCAACCCCCCTAGCATGATTGCGCTTTAACTAGAACATTACTGGTTAGGGAGCCCCCCCCCCCCCTTCCTCCTCCACATACACTGACTCACCTCTGGATTTCTTGACCGGGTGAAGGGTCTCCTCCTTCGACAATCCTCCTCTTAGAGGAGCTCCTAAATATTAGAAGGCGTGAAACGTGTTGTGTTTCCTGTCGGGTTGCTGAGTGAATGAGCCCAGAATAAAGCCCGTGTCTTGGCTAGGAGATGGACTACAACCGCGATCCGTCGTGCGTTTTCCACTCCAGCTGTTGGCTCACCGACATTTTTTTTCTCTTCTTCTCCCTCCTCGATTCCCAAAGTAGCCAATGGGCAACAGAAACTCGTCCAAACCTGACGATCTTGGGTCTGAGTCTATTTGGCGTGTTGAAGTATGACGGGATTTTAAGAGGTACAAAAAACCCCAGACGGTATTTAGATATTTTTTTCTTTCAAAAATAGCCCAGTCTCTTTTTTCTCATGGTTGAAGTTGAACCGGGAGCGGTCGACTATAAATAAGGCTGATCGTGGAGCTTAAAAGACAGTTACACCCGCCCGGGTTCGCTCCCGAGAAAACGTGCCTGTTGGTACAAATGAAATAAAGAAAAAAAAAAAAGACAGCCGTTGCCTCCCCCTTGTCCTCCTCCTCCTCTTCTTCTTCCTCCTCCTCCTCTTCCTCTCCGTCCAACCAACACAAACTGGAATTAACCGCGCGTCTCTCCGAACTCCGCCCGGGGCCGCTCGGCTCGGCTCGGATTGGGCTCCTGGGTGACGACGTCCTTCAGGAGCTAATCGGGGCTTCGGGTGCCGCCCACCGCAGCAGTATTAAAAAAAAGTATTATAGTTCAGAGGCAAAGCCAGAGCTGGAGAAAAAGGCCGCGCGTCTTTTTACGCAGCGCCTCACCCCCAAGTCTGTGGAGATTGCTTAAAAAACTGGATTATGAACAGACGTTTGACCAAATAGAAAGTTTTTTCTGTGCACAGCGGGCGGGATTGTGGCGTTAGAGGGCTGCTGTCCTCTGTGAAACGCGGGGTGAACTCCAGCCCCTGGCTCCGGTTTGCGCAGGAGCCAGGGAGCTGTCCCTGGTGCTGAATGCAGCGCCCGTCACCCTTCTGCTCTCTGCCCCCCCCCCCCCCCCCCCCCCCCCCCCCCCCCCTTCCCCCCGCGTGGCCCCCCCCGCCCCCCCCACCCGGAGTACACTGTAGTTAAAAGAGGAGAGAGAGAGAGAGAGAGAGAGAGAGAGAAAGAGAGAGAGAGATTGGCAAACGATGCGTGGAGAATCGCGCCCGGGAGAGAAGGAGAGACGCCACTTAAAGAGCCACAGACCGTTTTTAATGATTCCTTTCTATCAAGGCCTCCACACGAGGCGGCCTGCGTGTCATACCTCTCGTTCCACGCGGGAGAGAGTGTGCGCGCGCCTGTGATGTGAATACACAACGTAGGTCTGTTTTGGTGTGTCCATGTGGAAACCAAGCCAAAGGACAGAACAAACCCTTATTGGCTCTTTAAATGGCAACAAATGGAAACAAGGGGACCAGAAAAAAGGATGACACTCCTGGAAGAAGCACTAAATGGATCTATCCCCAGTTTCTTAATGGTACTTGGATTATTTAACTGTTGGCCGCTTTCCTGACATTTTTCCGTATTTCTTTAGATTCAACAAGAATCTCAGTAGTAGTTTGCCAGAATATTCACATGGAGCAACAGCACATCTTAAGTGCTCTTCCCTCTACTGACAAATTATTGGACTCATTCACACAGAATGAGCTTAGTGATGAGAAAAACTACAGGGGTTTGTCGGCACCGACTTAAATGTAAGTAAACGCTGGCTACAGCCGACTTAAAAAGGAGTGAGATGAGATGAGTGGCAGGGAAATGAGTAGCTGGTGATTGGTGTTTTGACTGGAGATGAAAGAGAAGCTATAAAACAATCCAAATCAGAGAAAAGTGAGGGATCAAACATAAAGAAATGCATGAGCTGAACAACAGAGAGAGCAGTGATTGACATTGCCCATTATTCTTTTTACTCCTTCTCCCTATGTGTGCCTGCTTGTGTGTGTGTGTGTGTGTGTGTTTAAGTGTGTGTGTCACAGGACCTTGCTTCCTGCGTTGTCTCACAAGAAGACTCATTAACATAGAAATGACTTCAGGAGGGGAGATACAGGGTTACATCTCTGGTAAGAGACAGGATGGAGGGAGGGAAACTGAGGGAAGAGTGGAGGAGGAAAGGAGAGCGGCCCAGGAGTAAAAGAAGGAAGAGGGAGCAGGGTGATAAGAGGGAGAGCAGTGAGTTGTGAATAAAGCAAAGGGGACAGACATTGATAGGGACAAAAAGTGGACAAAGGACAGATGGAGGTGAAAGAAAAAAGATTAAAGGCACTGGGTGGAGGGATCAACACTGAAGTGTGTTGGCGGAAGGCTTTATTTTGTCCCTATTCCATTGGTCTCCCTCAGTGATGGGTGGGTTTTCTAAGAGTGTGTAGTTAATTGAATTGTAAGTATAACTTAAGGTTAATAAAAAGATTTCTACTTAAGGGTTATTGAAGAAATCTCTGAATCTGATGTTACTGTGCTTCTGGTCAGTGATGACTTTTTCAGTGATGCAACATGATATTTCCTTAACCTTTCCGAAGAGTCCCCATGAATTAAAACAACCACAAACACCTTAAGTTATTATTTACCGCCACGGACTCCATACAGAAGGTGAGACAGAGACGAGTGAAAAATAGAACAGATATTCAGTGACACAACCGATGTTTATCGGGGCCACTTTTTCCATTTCAGATTAAACCACAGCTGGTATCTTCTTCACATCGTTTGCTCAATTTGTTAAAAAAGAGCTACATTTAAGAATGTTCGATGAAACATTCAAAGTAACACTGAACAGTGGCAGTACTGTGAGCTAAGCACAGTGGTTAAACAGTGCCACTGCAGCATTCCCTGTATCAAAGGGGCCATACTTTAACTAAATTGTGATGCAAATCTACAGCGAACCTAAATTTCCTCTAAAGTTAAACTGCCAGAAGAACATTTCCCACATTACGCCGTCTTGCCGTGCTGTTTCAGGAGGGCTGCATGAATAGAGATGCAGCACAGTGACTTTAATCCCAAGTATTTGCCATTTAAATGAATGAGAGAATGAAAAGAAAAAGCCACATGAGGGAAAATTCTGGGGTAACTGTGTGGAAGAATGGCACTCACGCTCACTCATCTTCCAGTCCACGCATGTTTATCTGCAGGAATCACAATTACAACGTCTGTATGAAAGTGACTGTCGCTGCAGCAAGGAATTGTGGGAAAGTATTATCTGCTTTCCTTTGAAGGATAGCCCCAGTGTTTCCTGTGTGGAAAGAGATCATAAAGGAGGCCCGAAAGCGCCTTTTCCTTACCGTACAGAGAATTCACCAGTTCTTATCATGGCTGCCACTGAGATACTTCCAAGTCACTCCAAATAATGGATGCTACACACACCCCTAATCCCAGAGCTGTTACCACAGCTTAGTGCTTCATGAAATATTGTTATCCTTTATGTCTTATGTATAGTCCTTCATATTTCAGAGTGCTCAATTTATACTTTTATTTATATTTATTTCCAAAATGTTGTTTGTGTTTGTTAATCTGGTCATTCATATTCTCTTGACTGTTTTTTTTGTCTTCAGTTTGTTTGTATCAGTGTTATTGACTATCTCCCTGTCACCGTGTCTATGATTGGAGTTTAAGAATGTATGCTGCTCCTATCAGATGTAAAATCTAAGGGAAAAATACATCCATAAATAAATGAATAGATAAATCAATCCAAATTTCAAGAGAGCTATTTCCTCTCATGGCCGTTGGCACGTTTTAGGGGGTGGTGGTGTTTAATTAAACGACACGCCTTGTAACCCTGATGAATGTCTCGTATTATCACAAATTGCTCAATAAGTTATCGTTGTCAAGCACTTCGGCCATAATGTCCACTGTCTGTGAAAAATGGACACAGGTTTATTATATTATAGAGGGCCCCGCGCACTAACAGCGCATAAAACCTGCTGCAGCTCTCACTTCTCTCACCATTTAATGATGAGGAAGATCATGGTCTCTCTTCATAATCAGGTTCTTTCTCGATGCATGGCAAGCTGCATGCAGGAATTTTCTGAAGGGCACAATATGAACTTTTACAAATGTAATTGCAACTCTGTCTAAGGCCCCTGTGTCTCAAGGCAGCAAAAACCTTTGTCATTACCACAGTG